AACCCTAAAACAACCTCTAGGCTGATCTAAGTCAAGGCATGGCTAACTCACATATCGAATATGAATTTTGGGTATTAGGTTTTTTGGAGGGAGGAAAACCGGAGAAACAGGAAAAAACCCCTCGAATCAATGGAAATACCTAATAAACTCTACTCACATTTGATTACCATCCAGGAATCGGACCTGAGATCCCAGAGATGAGAGAGTGCATTACGGCTATGCCACCGGCTTTGATTCACAGTTTTCCAAATTGGTTTTCAACGCAAATCAAAAATCCCTCTGTAAACGAGGATAAAGATTAGTTAAGAAATGATTTATCATTGGTATCTAGCTTAAAGGAATTTTAAAAAATTAGAGTCCCCGATAGGAATCGAACCCATGACCTTTCGGATGCCGGTCGGATGCTCTACCACTGATAGCCGGCTAAGTTTGTTCCTGTAGGGTTTTGATCATCTTAGCTTTTTTTYCACACAGCAACCCCAACTGGAGGAAGCGTAGCCAGTGAAACCTGCTGTAAGGTACTCTAAATACTCTGATAGACCAAATTCAAAACTCSCACCGATGTGAGGCTTAAGTTGTGAACAAAGGGATCTGGCGTGACTCAAAGTAATCTGGCGTGATTCAAAAGTCACGAATCACGCCAGATTCTTTTGTTCACAACTTAAGCCTCACATCGGTGCGAGTTTTGAATTTGGTCTATGTTATTGGAGTTTTTAATATATTATGTTAGAAACTTACCTGATATGAATTCTTCACACAGGAACTCTTTTTTGTTGTGCATTTTTATGGTCCATCTTGCTTCTTTTCTGTCTTTTATTTCCATGACGACGTTGTCCTTGTCCTTGTCCTTACCATCATTATCGTCATCATCCTCTTTATTACCGTTTTTACCTTCTCCTCCTTTTCTTCCCCCTTCTTCAAGATTGTCTCCCTCTCTTTCCGCAGGGGGTGATGGAATGCTGTAACCTCTTGAACGAACGCATCAAACCCATCCGTGCGATGAAACCTGACGCATCATGGAAAGAACTGATCACCTTGTGTGGCTACCAAGGTGTTGATCTGTCTGCCAAGTACCTGTAAGTAATCAACAATCAACAAATAGATGCACCTGAGTGTACCATTTGACTCGTAGCTTATGAGGGTGATGGTTCTACGTCGACGTTATTAGTAAAACGAGTAGAATATATATTAGTCTGCTGCTGCTGCTGCTGTCCAGAACTTTTGGTAAAAACGACTAGATTTCCCYTGAAGTATTTGTTTGCGTATTTGGAACACAAGCTATCATTTCGCATCCATAGACCTATAATTCTTTCTTGCTTTCCTATATGGCARACAATTGTAACTGGACATATTTTCGGAATACTCGCATGTTACAAACTTTTGCTTGCATCCTCGAACCTAATCTTTTTTTTTTTTACATTCCTGGGAGACCTTTTGGGGAATACTTGGATGTTAAGAATATAAGTTGCTAAACTTTGGATTTTTACCTCAGAGTTCGTGGTTCTCCCAAGGAAGAAATGTACGTCGCTTATGGCGTGACGTGCACTGAAGCAGAAGTTGACATCCTGACTGGCGAGAGACTCATTCTGAGGTCTGACATCTTGTTTGACTGTGGAGAAAGGTGTGTAATTTCTGATTTTTTAGAAGTTTATTAGCCTTTGGCTATTTAGCAATACCCTATTAATTACTTACTTATTTACTTGGCTGCTTGGTAACTTACTTGGCTGCTTGGTTGGTTGGCTGCTTGGTGGGTTGGTTGGTTGTTGGTTTGTTGGGTTGGTGGGTTGGTGGGTTGGCTGCTTGGTTTGTCGTAACGATGTTTTGGTAAACGTCGTTAAAGTGTTTCCACATAGTGAAATTTTCTGGAAAATAACACAAACTTTTCATAGGCACGTGCCTTGATTGACGTACACCAAAACCTACTCCATCCGAGAAGCACTCTACTGAATATGGTGATAGCTCAAATATATGTTATCAAGGAAATGAAATGTTGTTTGAAATAGATATTTATGAAAATCCTCTTTCTCCCAGTATGAATCCAGACATCGACATTGGRCAAGTTGAAGGGTCTTTTGTGTTTGGAATGGGTTACTGGTTGACCGAGAAAGTGTACTATGATGCACAAACTGGACAGGAGCTGTCTACTGGCACTTGGGTAAGTAGTTAAGTGCGCATTCCTGATCTTTAACCCAGTATGGAAGATGGATGCTCCTAGTAATTGGTTCCTAATTTGGGAGTATGTTGGAGCACAGATCCAGTATGGGAGATGAATGCTCCTAGTAATGGACTCCTGATCTGGGAAAATGCTGGCGTACAAAACCAGTATGGGAGATGGATGCTCCTAGTAATGGGCCCCTAGACCTGATCTGGGGATATGCTGGCTCATGCTTACAGACCAAGCTTAAAAGATCAATCTTAGTAATGGGCTATTTTTCYCCCCCATAAGACTTACAAGCCACCCACAACCAAGGATATTCCAGTTGACTTACGAGTKACACTCCTGAAGAACACGCCAAACCCGCTTGGCTTCTTACGATCAAAAGGTTGGTAATATTTGAAAATTTTCAATATATCCTGCTAGCATGCTTCAGAATAAACCTAATACGACACGTGTTTTCCAGCCGTAGGCGAGCCTCCAATTACCATGTCCTGCTCGTGTTTGTTTGCTGTGAAACACGCGGTGGAAGAAGCAAGGAAGGAATCCGGCAATGATGGCCATTTCACACTCAGTAAGTATGAATGTGATTTTCAAAAGCCTCCGAACAAAAAGTGCGAGATCTTGTGTCTGAAATTTGACAACATTAAGCCAAGTTGAATGGGTCTATTGCTTATACAATACTCAAGGGAATGGTCATGTGGTCTAAAATGAGACAACACTGAGCCATGCTGAATGGCTCTATTGCTTGTACAATACTCAAGGGAATGGTCATGTGGTCTGAAATGCGACAGAACTGAGCCAGTTTTAATTAGTTCCGAAACATATCTAGTAGAATGTTTTACCTTATATTAAAATGCTCTCTCTTTTGTTCTTTAGATGGTCCTGCAACTGTCGAGCGAACACAACAAAGCTGCCTCGTCCACCGTGATCAGCTACATATTTAAGATTAAGGTCCATCGGTGTTACTATGGCAACAAAACGTGTTGTCAAGGAGTCATCTTTAAAATGTACCGAGTATATCGTAGAAATAGTGCAAACTGTAAAAACAAAAAATAATTAGTGATTTTTGTATTAGAAGTACAGTATTATTTTTGTAGATGTCATATAATATTACCTTTTTATCGTATTTCGGCTCTAGACTATACACGCAAAAATTAGATATRAAAATGTCACGCATTGATTATAAGAATGTCACGCATTACTTTGGTAATAGTATAACATTCTARCGCAAGTTCATATTCGGGAAATTATATACTGCTATGATTAGTTAACGGAGAAAATTAAGTTGTTGAATTGAAATCAGTCTTAATGAAAAAAAAATTATATAGAGGGGTCTGTATACATTATTAACTAACGTTATACTAACCTATATGTCATAGTTTTCTTTCTCTTTACTATACCATTACCATTTTTTGAATGCTATAAATAAAAATGTTGATTCATAATTGGGAGTCTTAGGTATGCTATTCTTCGATTGGCCGTTACGTCATCGCGGCCATGTTGGTGCCATTTGACAAAAGATTTTTCATTAGCATCCATTGTTAATGGCACCACAATGGCCGCCATGTTTTTGTCTTATAACTCTCTTGGGAATGCTTGCAACCCATCAATTAGCCATTCCGGGTCGATTCGAATCGCAGTGCATTTTGGAGCTCATTTTAGGAGACATATTTCCAAGATGGCGTCTATTCCGTCCCTAAAACCGCTCCACAATGCACTACGAAGCCAACTCGACCCAGCTTTTATTATGGCCGTAATAAGTCAATAAATATCTCAGTATCGTATTCGTTCATCAGATTTGCCACACTCTGTGAGATAAGTATTACTGTGTGAGATTCGTATTTCTATCAGAATTTTTTCTAGAGTCGTTCGTATTCTGTGCCGAAGAAAGACAAACACGCCAAATGAAAATCTATTCTTAGCAAAGCAGAATCGCTTGAAGTTTCTCTACAAAAATATGATACTTTAATCGATTAGAATTTGTTTTAGTTGGGCGATCGTCGCAAATTAAAAACTGCCGGGTATTTGTTTATTTATATTTATATGTTTCAAAATGAAACGAAGAAACGCCATTCATCCATCTATTCACCCATTCATTTCATCCATCTATCCATCCCATCCAATGAGGCATTCATCCATCGACCCTATCTTATCCAATCTTATTTCTTTTCCGACGTTTTAATTTGTTAAATTCACCATTATTCGTACATTGGTTCACTGGTCAAWCACAAAGCGCTCAAGCGAGGCGCCWARKTACTTTCAAAGGATTATTCAAATTTGAACCTTGCAACCTCGACTGCGAATGCTTTGTGTTTGACCAGTGAACCGATGTATGGAAAATGATKAATTGTGGAGCCTCCGAGGAAGCTATTTCTCAAATGCATTYGCTCCAGAAACTCTGTTTCCTCACAATTTACGACTCAATTCAAAAAATAATAATTTCTGTGTATTAATCAACACCTCTGTTCATGAAGTGTTTAATGTWAAAATCAACATAATTAATCAAAGAAGCAAACAGATTTAAATTTTAAAAAARGTTTGTTTCTAACGTATAAAAAGGTCGTTTCGGTCCTTCAACGAAGATACATTTTTTAGAATTGAAAATTTATTCATTTTATTAATATTAAGCCCTGGCTAAACGAGGAAACATGTTTCCAGAAACATGTTTTCTTAAATGTTTCCAAAGGTGGCAAAACGGTCATGGAACATCAGGAAACATGTTTACTCAATATCGGTTAGCGCATGCGCACTTTCAAGATAGAGCTAGCGTTGCTAAAAAGCGAACTTTTAGAATGTTGACTTTCATGGCTAAACGAGGAAACATTGGGAAACATTGGGAAACATTGTTTCAATGCGTCTTGGAAGCATGAAATGTTTCTGCCGCACAGCAGAAACATTTTTGCGTCTTGGAAGCAAAATTTGTTGCACGTAGCATTGTTTCGCACGYGGCTAAACTTGRAATCATCGGGGGAACATGCGCGCGGGAAACACGTTTCTGGAAACTTGTTTCATCGTTTAGCCCGCAGGGCCTTACTGTGCTTTGCTGAAACGAAAGAAACTCAGAAAAAATCTGAGTTCCAGATGGAACTTAATTTATTTATTTATTTTATTTTTTATCCTTTCGTATACTTCAGTATAGCCATGACCAACTCCATTTATCCTTACTTTATCAAACGATACACATACTTTTATCATAATAATCGCGCTTTATTATTATTTTATTTTATCAKTATTATTTATTTATTACTTAATGATTGAACTATTATAGATTTTTATTTTCATATCTTATTTCTTCTAGGCTTTTTCCGGTAATCAACGGATAGAAATAACGATTGCAATTATTTTTGTTTCTCACAATTTGACTAATGATGTAACAAGACAAATAGCCTGGATTGAATTCCAGTTTCATCTATTGGCTGTAGAATTGACCGTGGACTGTTGACGAAGCCGCCTATGATTTGAGATCGAAATTCAAAGTATATAATGTCAATCAAAAGGATCTTATTTGATGATKACTGCCGCTGTTTTAAAGATCGGTTGAGATGTAAGGTTCTCCGGTACTCAAGTATCCAGCTCTGAGCTCAAAGCGACCAAYATCGCGAGATCATCCAAAGGCTTGAAATGGAGTTAGAATTCAAAAATCACACCAAATTTCTGTACCATAATAAATCAAAAACTAGTACTATTTTGCAGGATTTTATTCTTCCAAAGAAGATACTGTTCACGGTAATTGCCATTTTATCGATTGTTGGGAACACTTTATTTTTCATTGTGTTGGTGAGGAAAAGATCTATGTTAAGAAGACCTTACAACAAGCTTATACTTTCGCTCTCTGTCACCGACCTCCTCACAGGTAAGATTAAACGATTGCTTTTGATCATATTTTCTATGAATAAAACGACAATTTTGAGTTCGAACAATTTTTTTTGCATTCAAACATGTTTCGACAGATCAACTGCCATCTT